CACACTCACTAACAGACACACACACTAACAGACACACACAGTAACAGACACACACACTAACAGACACACTCACTAACAGACACACATTAACAGACACACTCACTAACAGACGCACTCACTAACAGACACACTCACTAACAGACACACACACTAACAGACGCACTCACTAACAGACGCACTCACTAACAGACGCACTCACTAACAGACACACTCACTAACAGACACACTCACTAACAGACACACTCACTAACAGACACACTCACTAACAGACACACACATTAACAGACGCACTCACTAACAGACGCACTCACTAACAGACACACTCACTAACAGACACACTCACTAACAGACACACTCACTAACAGACACACTCACTAACAGACACACTCACTAACAGACACACACACAAACACACTAACAGACACACTCACTAACAGACACACACACTAACAGACACACTCACTAACAGACACACTCACTAACAGACACACACACTAACAGACACACTCACTAACAGACACACACACTAACAGACACACACACTAACAGACACACTCACTAACAGACACACTCACTAACAGACACACACACTAACAGACACACTCACTAACAGACACACTCACTAACAGACACACTCACTAACAGACACACACACTAACAGACACACTCACTAACAGACACACTCACTAACAGACACACTCACTAACAGACACACTCACTAACAGACACACTCACTAACAGACACACACACTAACAGACACACTCACTAACAGACACACACACTAACAGACACACACACTAACAGACACACACACTAACAGACACACTCACTAACAGACACACTCACTAACAGACACACACACTAACAGACACACTCACTAACAGACACACTCACTAACAGACACACTCACTAACAGACACACTCACTAACAGACACACTCACTAACAGACACACACACTAACAGACACACTCACTAACAGACACACTCACTAACAGACGCACTCACTAACAGACGCACACACTAACAGACACACTCACTAACAGACACACTCACTAACAGACACACACACTAACAGACACACACACTAACAGACACACACACTAACAGACACACACACTAACAGACACACTCACTAACAGACACACTCACTAACAGACACACACACTAACAGACACACACACTAACAGACACACTCACTAACAGACACACACACTAACAGACACACACACTAACAGACACACACACTAACAGACACACTCACTAACAGACACACTCACTAACAGACACACACACTAACAGACACACTCACTAACAGACACACACACAAACACACACTAACAGACACACTCACTAACAGACACACACACTAACAGACACACTCACTAACAGACACACTCACTAACAGACACACTCACTAACAGACACACTCACTAACAGACACACTCACTAACAGACACACTCACTAACAGACACACACACTAACAGACACACTCACTAACAGACACACACACACACACACACACACACTAACAGACACACTCACTAACAGACACACACACACACACACACACACACTAACAGACACACTCACTAACAGACACACACACACACACACACACACTAACAGACACACTCACTAACAGACACACACACACACACACACACACTAACAGACACACTCACTAACAGACACACACACACACTAACAGACACACTCACTAACAGACGCACTCACTAACAGACGCACTCACTAACAGACACACACACTAACAGACACACTCACTAACAGACACACACACAAACACACACTAACAGACACACTCACTAACAGACACACACACTAACAGACACACACACTAACAGACACACTCACTAACAGACACACTCACTAACAGACACACTCACTAACAGACACACACACTAACAGACACACTCACTAACAGACGCACTCACTAACAGACACACACTAACAGACACACTCACTAACAGACACACTCACTAACAGACACACTCACTAACAGACACACACACTAACAGACACACACACTAACAGACACACTCACTAACAGACACACATTAACAGACACACTCACTAACAGACGCACTCACTAACAGACACACATTAACAGACACACTCACTAACAGACACACTCACTAACAGACACACTCACTAACAGACACACTCACTAACAGACACACTCACTAACAGACACACTCACTAACAGACGCACTCACTAACAGACGCACTCACTAACAGACACACACACTAACAGACGCACTCACTAACAGACACACTCACTAACAGACGCACTCACTAACAGACACACACACTAACAGACACACTCACTAACAGACACACATTAACAGACACACTCACTAACAGACGCACTCACTAACAGACACACATTAACAGACACACTCACTAACAGACACACATTAACAGACACACTCACTAACAGACACACACACTAACAGACACACATTAACAGACACACTCACTAACAGACACACATTAACAGACACATTCACTAACAGACACACACACTAACAGACACACATTAACAGACACACTCACTAACAGACACACATTAACAGACACACTCACTAACAGACGCACTCACTAACAGACACACACTAACAGACACACTCACTAACAGACACACTCACTAACAGACACACTCACTAACAGACACACACACTAACAGACGCACTCACTAACAGACACACTCACTAACAGACGCACTCACTAACAGACACACACACTAACAGACACACACACTAACAGACACACTCACTAACAGACACACATTAACAGACGCACTCACTAACAGACACACTCACTAACAGACGCACTCACTAACAGACACACACACTAACAGACACACTCACTAACAGACACACATTAACAGACACACTCACTAACAGACGCACTCACTAACAGACACACACTAACAGACACACTCACTAACAGACACACTCACTAACAGACACACTCACTAACAGACGCACTCACTAACAGACACACACACTAACAGACACACACACTAACAGACACACTCACTAACAGACACACACACTAACAGACACACACACTAACAGACACACTCACTAACAGACACACATTAACAGACACACATTAACAGACACACTCACTAACAGACGCACTCACTAACAGACACACATTAACAGACACACTCACTAACAGACACACTCACTAACAGACACACACACTAACAGACACACTCACTAACAGACACACTCACTAACAGACACACTCACTAACAGACACACATTAACAGACACACTCACTAACAGACACACTCACTAACAGACACACATTAACAGACACACTCACTAACAGACACACTCACTAACAGACACACATTAACAGACACACTCACTAACAGACACACTCACTAACAGACACACATTAACAGACACACTCACTAACAGACACACACACTAACAGACACACACACTAACAGACACACATTAACAGACACACTCACTAACAGACGCACTCACTAACAGACACAGACACACACACACACACACACACACTAACAGACACACACACAAACAGACACACACACAAACAGACAGACACACACACACAAACAGACAGACACACACACAAACAGACACACACTCACTCACTCACACACACACACACACACACACACACACACACACACACACACACACACACACACACACTCACTCACTCACACACACACACACACACCTAGTAACACACACACACAGACACACTCACACGCTCACTCACGCACGCACACACACACGTACGCATTCTCACACACTCTCTCACACACGTCTCTAGTCTGTAAAGCAATCAGTGTTTCTAGCTCTTCTGAGAGCAGCACACACACACTCTCTCTCTCTCTCTCTGCTGCAGTCCAGTCAATAACACAGACATGCATGACGATTTATCATTTTCTACTCTCATTTTTCACTTATTGACATTGTTTTTCCATTTATTCTGCAGAATTAAATCAGTAAGTCCAGACGAACCGTCCAAGTCGAGTCCTGCCTGTCACACACACTCTTAATAATATATATATAAATTAGTTCTACATATGGAAACACTAGACCGTCAATCAAGAATTCTACTTATTTAGTTAAAGTTTTAGTAATTTTGTGTTTTCATCATTTTTATTTTTTATTTTTTAAATACGTCTATATAGTTTTGTCATTTTTATTTCTATTTTAGTTTTAGTTAATTTAGTACATCAACATAAACTAAATGAAAATGAGAAATGTTGCTTTTTTTTGAAAAGTTTTTTTTATACTTGCTTTTATTTCAGTTGACATTTATTGTATTTCAAGTTAGGAAAGTGTGTTTTTTCTTCTGTCCTTGAACAACTCTACCGATGATGGACAGAGAGCGGATATACTCACTGCATCTGTGCTGATGTTCAGGGCTCCAGTAATGATGTTAGTGGTGTGGGGCATCATGGGGGATTATTAGGGTCTGAAACCCTGTGTGTGTGTGTATAAGTGTGAGTATGTATAAGTGTGAGTGTAAGTGTGAGTGTAAGTGTGAGTGTGTGTGAGTGTAAGTGTGAGTGTAAGTGTGAGTGTGTGTGTGTGTGTGTGTGTGTGTGTATGTGTAAGTGTGTGTGTGTGTGTGTGTGTGTAAGTGTGTGTGTGTGTGTGTAAGTGTGAGTGTAAGTGTGACTGTATGTGTGAGTGTAAGTGTGTGTGTGTAAGTGTGTGAGTAAGTGTGAGTGTGTGTGTGTGTGTGTGCGAGAGTGTGTGTGTAAGTGTGTGTGTGTGTAAGTGTGAGTGTAAGTGTAAGTGTGAGTGTGTGTGTGTGTGTGTGAGAGAGTGTGAGTGTGTGCATGTGTGTTTGAGTGTGTGTGTGTGTGTGTGTGTGTGTGTAATATTTCCCTTATCCAGGATACCGAGAAACGCAGGAAAAACTTGACGTGCCACACACACACGAAGAGTGACAGACATGATGATGCGTGTGCCTAC